CTGACATTGCGTCAGTGCATGGGTTGGGGGGTGGGGATGTTAACGTTCATGTTAACTTGCGTCACATGCACATCTGACGTTACGTCACTGGGTTGGGGGGTGGGGATGTTAACGTTCATGTTTAACTCACATGCACATCTGACGTTGCGTCCCTGGGTTGTGGGGGTGGGGATGTCAACGTTCATGCTAACTTGCGTCAATGGCGTTGGATGAACTCCAAGACCAAAAGTCTTTTGGAGCTCACTGGTCGCGCTTTGAAGAACCGTGTGGCGATGTAAGGTGGAAAAAAACACCGCGCACCTTAAGCGCTGAGCTTTGCTACCACTGCCCACCGGCGGGGCCGCCGCAGTGGTACAAGCCGGTGGACCCCACGTCGGACTCTTGTCTGCAAATTCCCGAACTGTTGGGTTTCAATCTCTGGGTCTGGCCGGAACGGGCCCGGAACCGAGCCATGGAACCTTGCAACCCTGGAACCTTGAAAACCCGGAACCCTTGTAGAGCGCTAAAAACTTGGAACCCTGAAAGCTGGGGTCTTGGAACCCTGCGAACCGTGCAACCCTGAAAGCCCCTTGTAACACTTGAACCCAGAAAAACTCGGAACCCTGGAGTCCAGGCGCCTTGGAACCTTGGAACCCTGAGAGCTGGAACCGTGGAACTCTAGAAATGTCGAACCTTGACACCCTGAAAGTGGAAACGATCGCGTTTGATTTGTGAAAAAACGCATCAAAAAAATAAAGCCAAAATCAAAGTTCAACATGTTCGTTTATTTTGTTCATTCGCTGTGTCCAAGGATGGAGATCTCCAGGCGAACCTCCCTGGCCTGCGGGTCTGGGAGGACGGAAAGCCCGTCCCAGACGTTTTCGTGGCGTGGGGTGCAACCGTCTGGGGCGCCCCGGACGGTGAAGGCACCTTGACTTGATCTATCCAAATATATATATATATCTTGTTTTGTTTGCACTGTCATCATCATAATGAGAATCGTCATCATGATCATCACATCATCATCATCATCATCATCATCGTCATTGTCAGCATCATCATCATCATCATCATCACCATCATCATCATCATCGCCATCATCGTCATCATCGTCATCGTCATCATCATCATCATCATCACCATCATCATCATCATCATCATCATTGTCATCATCATCACCACCATCATCATCATCATTACAGCATCATCATCTTCAGCATCATCACTAGCATCCTCAGGATCATATAGATCGTGAGCAGCTGCAGTGTCAGTTTCTTCAGCTGCGTAGCGTCCAACATGTGTGCAACCTACAAGGAACGTTAACATGCCCCACCCCACCCTAACCCTTCAGTTGCGTAGCGTCCAACATGTGTGCAACGTGCAAGGAACGTTAACATGCCCCACCCCACCCTAACCCTTCAGTTGCGTAGCGTCCAACATGTGTGCAACGTGCAAGGAACGTTAACATGCCCCACCCCACCCTAACCCTTCAATTGCGTAGCGTCCAACATGTGTGCAACCTACAAGGAACGTTAACATGCCCCACCCCACCCTAACCCTTCAGTTGCATAGCGTCCAACATGTGTGCAACCTACAAGGAACGTTAACATGCCCCACCCCACCCTAACCCTTCAGTTGCGTAGCATCCAACATTTCTGCAACGTACAAGGAACGTTAACATGCCCCACCCCACCCTAACCCTTCAGTTGCGTAGCATGCAACATGTCTGCAACCTACAAGGAACGTTAACATGCCCCACCCCACCCTAACCCTTCAGTTGCGTAGCGTCCAACATGTGTGCAACGTACAAGGAACGTGAACATGCCCCACCTCACCCTAACCCTTCAGTTGCGTAGCGTCCAACACGTGTGCAACCTACAAGGAACGTTAGCATGCCCCACCTCACCCCAACCCTTCAGTTGCGTAGCATCCAACATGTGGCAACGTACAAGGAACGTTAACATGCCCCACCCCACCCTAACCCTTCAGTTGCGTAGCGTCCAACATGTGTGCAACGTACAAGGAACGTTAACATGCCCCACCCCACCCTAACCCTTCAGTTGCGTAGCGTCCAACATGTGTGCAACGTACAAGGAACGTTAACATGCCCCACCCCACCCTAACCCTTCAGTTGCGTAGCGTCCAACATGTGTGCAACCTACAAGGAACGTTAACATGCCCCACCCCACCCTAACCCTTCAATTGCGTAGCGTCCAACATGTGTGCAACCTACGAGGAACGCTAACATGCCCCACCCCACCCTAACCCTTCAGTTGCGTAGCGTCCAGCATGTGTGCAACCTACACGGAACATTAACATGCCCCACCCCACCCTAACCCTTCAAATACGTTCAAAAAGCAAAAAATAACACTTCCTGCCACGGCCGTGCAGCGGTCGGTGTCCAACTACTTTCGAGGAGATGCTATTGCAGCGACCGGTTCGCGATCACATCTTGAATGCAATGGACAAGCAGGCTCAGAGCGTTGCTGTGAAGTTTTGCATTTTTAATTTGATTGTTTGTACTGAGGCACAACTCTTTCGCGAAGTGGGCCCCATTCCGGAGCCACATGAGCTTCCGATGCCGTGCAACATCCACTAACAGCCAACGGGGGCAGAAAAAAGGCGCTAATGACTGAGAGTACATGACAATTGGTTCATTTCCATTCAGTCAAAAACGCAAGGTCGGTAACAGCGCATCGTTTTTTTAATCGCTGCGTATGAAAATACGAAATCACAATCTTGATTCCGTAGCGCATCTTCTGAAGTCTCAAGACAGTCGGTACATTCGCACGCGCGATTCTTGGTTGTTCGAAGCCGGGCGCCTGACCTGTCAACTCAATAGAAATAACACGCTAGCGCACACGCCAACCCCCGTGAATAATTCATTGATTAGTGAATTCAGTGATCAGTGTCCGAGCACGGCTCATGACCATCACTGCGCCCGAGCCTGAGATGTATCCGCTTTGCAGCTTTGCGGCCCATTCGGTCGATCTGCTGCGCTCAGGCTACAACTGAAGATTAGGCTTTTCGCCTTCCTTGTGTGCATCCGCTGGACGTAAGGATCTTGGGGTGTCTACCGGACCCACACAAGATCAAGTCAACGTTTTTCGTACCTCGCGTTCAAAGGTATTGCAAGAATCTGATTCACGCCACGAACATGATCAGCGGCAAGACACACAGCTTATTTCTAGGCAGGTGGAGATATGGGAAGACGTCTGTTCTAGCTGCAAATTTCGCAATGGTGCAATTGGGTTTTATGGATCCCCGGCTCTTTGGACACGTCTGTTTCGTCGACAGGTTCTGGGTTCATTGAGACGCGGATTCGCAAGCACTTCAACGCCAAGGCGTGGAATTTCGGAGATCATATCAGAATCCAGACCCACTAAATGAGACATAACACACAAGAACATGTGGTGCAATTCCACGCTCAGGCGATAGAGGCTGCTCACAACAACGATAAGGTGGTGAAGGTTATCGTCGGCGAGGTGATCGGGCAGCGCGTCCAATTTTGCCTTGCTCTAGCAGATAGCACTGTCCCACCTTGCTTGCGACAATATTTGCGATAAAAAGGCGCTAAAACTAGTGCATGGAAACAGGGGATCATGGCCACAGTTGCAAGAATCATTAGCACTCATACTAAGAATAGTGGCAATTCCTTTAGTAAACCAATGATAAAATCATCCTAGTGTCACTCGGTTTATGGGAGAAGGCCGTCCCAGATTGATGCACATCTGATTAGATGACCAACGGGTGGTGAATTACACTGCCATTAGATTAACCCATTAGATGAAAGTAGATTAACCACATCCGATAATCTGTCACAATGGGTTAGAGTTAGAATGATGTGGTTAATCTATGGCTTAATGATTATCTAACATATGAGAACTATAGTCAGACTGGCTTAATCCTTGATTGGATCTCTACCGCCCTACCGCCTCACCACTTCAGATGCGCGGAATTCCGACTGTTGAATTCGACAAGAACTAGTTCTGGTGCTTTCTTTTGTCAGCGTGTCTGAAAGTGCTCGATTCCATCATTTGGGCTGGTTTGTGCAGTCTGAAAATAGGATGCTTCTCAATTCATTGCTTAATCACTATGTTCACGTGTTAATCACTATTTTCACTATGATTTGATGTCAATTTTGGGGGTAAACTCCACTTTTAGATACTTTAAGGCACACCCGTCTACTTTCAAATGTTGCCTTTGTAAACTCTTTCAGCGTTGATACCCTGGTTGTTAATGGAAGGCCCAACCATAGCGAAACATCCAAGTGTAAAATGGTACATCCCGTGTTAGCCAACTCGGTTTTCCTCTTCCGGAATTGAGGTTGAGAATCGTTTGCCCTCGATTTCCCCATTAAAAGCTTGCAATAAAATTGCCCGCGCCAATGGAAATTGAATCCCCCAAAAAGCACTCATCATGTTTGGGTTGTATCATTTACATTACATAATTCCCCATTTTAGTGTTTGTTTCTTGGATATATGCAATTTCGAAACTTCAAATAATAATAATATATATATATATACACATTAAATTATATTAATCTATACTTTAATTGTATAGGTTATGTATGTAACATACATACAGTATGTTGATTATAATATTTTAGTGTCACATTTTAGTCATAATATATATATATATATATGCGATTACATAACTCATAGTGTATATATATATTTAGCTGTATATACATATTATATCGTTATATGTTTTTGACTACATATGTATGTATATATATATATTCAAAACTGGTTGGTGGTTTCAAACATTTTTTTATTTTCCATTTCATATATGGGATGTCATCCTTCCCATTGACGAACCCATACTTTTCAAAATAGTTAAAACCACCAACCAGATATAGTTTCATATAATTTCATATACCTCCATATATATATATATATATATTTATTTATTTATTTATTTTCTTTAAAAAAATGAGTAAACCATGAAAATTTCCCTATCGTTGGACGTTTTGTTTCAGCCAGGTCCGCTTCCAGGACGCTGAATCGGTCCAGCGGGCCATGGAGATGTTCAGCGACTACGAGGGGCACCCGTTGAAATTGAAGGCAAGGCTCAAGGGCGGTTCCCAACAGGATTTTATGGTGATTTTCTGGGAAAATGGTGATTTTATGGTGATTGATAGGGATTTTCCTGGGATTTCACATGATTTAAGCAACGAAAATGGTGATTGATAGGGATTTAACTAACAAGAATGGTGATTGACAAGGAGATCATGGGGATATCATGGGGAAAAAAACACCAGATTGCACTGGGATATGGATGTTACCCTCTGGTAATTGAACGATTTGCGAACTGGAAGCCACCATGCTATTAAGAACGGTAAATCTCATCATGTTTATCATCTATTCCTATGGTCCATGGCTTCCATTGCCATCCAATTGGGATCTGAGTGGAGGATGCCTTCTGGTAAAATGTTCACCCTTTCGAATGGTAAATCAAGGAACTCAATGGCAATGTTCAATAGCTATAGCTATCTAAATATGTTAAATTACCAGAGGGTAACGGGAGTATACAATGGGACATTACTGGGGTGTTGAATGGGGTGTTGATGGGATGTTAATGGGATATCAATGGGATATATAACATTCTAATACACTACAGAACCAACAGTCTGGAAAATGTGGCAGAATAATATACCATCCCATTCGCCATCTATTGCCTCGCGACAATGGGGATATAATAATTCAACAATCATCGGGATATTTATGGTATATATATATATATCATATTATATACCCTCTGGTAAACTAACATAACTTTGGAAAAACATCATTTTTAATGGGTAAATCAATGAACTAAATGGCCATGTTCAATAGCTTTTTGTATGTTTACCAGAGGGTAACCTAACATCGCGACCTGGAGAATTGGATGGCCAGAAATCATCCGTAGGCAGATCTGACTTCGCAAGATGGCACAAAGATTTTGATCATGGGTCTGTCGAGATCTCAGGACGTCAAAGTGTCAAAGTAGCATCAAAAATACTACATGTACTATATTTGCAGGCAGAAGATTGGCACCATATGCAACTGCACTATATTCAGATAGAATATTGTAATATATAGTTATAAAGTTATAATTTATACATATAATTTAATCATGTAATTACGTATCAAGTCATGAGATTTGTAGAGTCCATTCAAATCTCCCACCACGCATTCAAGAGCTATTCCTAAAAAGCGGCTTTGGGCACTGCTGAGGCTTCACATTGACCAGCGGGTCGATTTCACGCGTTTTTTTCAACAAAAGTGCCAGGTTTTTACCACCTACCATGAACTGCGATGTCAAGGAGTCCCAATAGTTTTTTTTTCTCATCCTTGTATCAAGGAATGCCATCCCGGATGTGACCCACCAGGCGGTCCTTTCTTGGAACATGCAATTCGTGTACACCACGGCTAACATTTCGTGGTTTTAAGTTTAAAACCTCATTTTCGCATCATGTTCCTATCATTTTCCCCAGTGACACAGCTATTTACTAGAAATTTGATGGTTTAACACCTCATTTTCCCATCATTTATCCCATTGAAAAGCAGCACCAAGGCCTGCCACTTGCGCTTGGCCCCAGTTGAAAGACTTTGTGGCGGCCTGGGTGCCTGGCTGGGGCTGGGGCTGGGGCTGGGCTGAGATTTCGGGATTTTCCTGGGATTTCACAGGATTTAACCAACGAAAATGGTGATTGATAGGGATTTAACTAACGAAAATGGTGATTGATAAGGAGATCATGGGGATATCATGGGGAAAAAACACCAAATTGTGAATTTTGATGGAATGTCATGGTATTTAATGGGATTTGAGTGGTATATCACTGCGATATGAATGGATGTTACCATCTGGTAATTGAACGATTTGCGAACTGGAAGTCACCATGCTATTAAGAACCGTAAATCTCATCATGTTTATCATCTATTCCTATGGTCCATGGCTTCCATTGCCATAGCTACGTCAAATAGCCAGAGGGTAACTGAAAATGAACTTCAATAGCTTGGGTTTATAGTAGATCTATCGAAGTACTTGATGGGTGTTATTTATTCAACAAACATAACTGGGTGGGCACCACCTTGCAGTGCAGGATGTACTGTTTACTACCGTAAAACGTTGTTTAGTCCCGCAACAAGGTCGACAAGGTCTTGGGATGTGATCAACTGCTGATCTTGGTGGCCAACCAAGCGTATTACTGTGTGACTGTAGGAATATTGAGGGGATGCATGGGTTTGTTGGAAGATGGGGTATAAGATCAAGTATCATGAGAATGTTATTGGGATATTGATGTCAGTGGGGACATTGAGGATTTGCAGTGAATTTGCCGTTACAAACACGTAGGAATTGCTTGGGGAGAATAAACGGGTACTCAAGCTATCGCTAGATTTCTTGAGCCGCTAGGCAAATCTTAGGGAACTAAAAACTATTTGGAATAGTGGAAGAATCACTTCAATATTTTTTATGTCATATTCCGATCATTTCTGCCTAAGATACAGGTTCCAATCCATTTTTTGGTGCCGCATGATTGCTACGTGGTCACCTCTAAAGTCTTTCACCTGGGCAACCTAAAGTGCGATAATACCCATCTAACGTAAGCGAGTGGTATATGGGATATACATGAGTTTCATACATCTGTAATCGGACCCCCCTGACTATGAATATATGTAATATATATATATATATACATATATATATATATATATTGGACCATTAATTGGACAAGAACTACTTGGGATATATATATATATACATAGATAACTAGTTGCATCAATGGGTTATTAGCCGGAGTATTGCAGTCATATGTGGACTATTGACGATTAACCCCCAAGTTTTGTGCCTTTTCATTTTCGGGTGAATAAGGGAATTTAGGATTTGGTGGTTGGGGTGATGGGATTCTGTTTTACACGACATGTGCAACGAAAATTTGGTATCTTTTTGTTTACCCTTCAGTTATATCAATATATAGGTTTGTCTGAAAATAGGGTACCCCAAAAATCCTATAGTTCATCATGATTTTCCCTATGCAGTTTTTTTTTCCCCTTCAGTCTCCTCCATTTCCAGACACGCCAGCATATCAAGTTGGTTATGTATCTCATGAGTTTCCCTATGGTATAGTCCCATATCCTTGATGCCTGGGTTTAAAACCCAATGTTCGTTAGAATCCCACAGATGTTTGTGCTATGGTCAACACACGGATCACATATATATATATATATCACATATATATATATATGTATACCGATATTGGGGGATGGTCATCCATCTTTTAAGGTGGATTTATACATTAAGCAACCCCAAAGTTTGATAGAACAGTAAAAGCCTACTAAAACAATGATAAATAACTTTTTTCTATTTTTCTTTGGGATTCCCTTCTCTCTCTCTCTATATATTTATATATGATATACATATGTAATCTGCGTTAACCACTCCCTATATAATGATATGCTGTTAAATATGTATGTCCATTCGTATGATTCAAATGGGGATAGTGATAGAGATTGTACATCACTGTTCAATCTTTTTTGGGATTACAACATACATACATATATATATATACATTTACACATACATATGCATCAGCCGCTCACTTTTTACATCCATATATATATATATATACACATACCCACCTAGATACATACATACATACATACATACATACATACATACATACATACATACATACATACATACATACACACATATATATATATAATCATCCTGAAGTGCATGGAATATGAGACGTTCAAAGATATGTCCAGTTGAATCAGGTTTTTTTGAATTGTTCACATTCTATCTACTCCAGGATGACAATACATGTATTTATGAAATATACATACATCCATATATAATCCTATATATATATATATATGCACGTATATACATATACATACCCATATATCCTTATAAAAAGGATCCCCATTTCCATAAAGTTACATTTATGGCATATACAACCATAAAGTTATATGTATTTATATATACATACATGCATACATTACATTACATTACATTACAGTACAGTGCAGTACATTACAATTACATTTACATTACATTACATTACATACCTACCTACGTACGTACGTATCATACATACATATCATACACATACACCTATATTTCTTTGTAAAAGGATTTGAATGGGTGGACCGTTGGACCACTAGAGGCAGCAGGGCCTGTAGCCTACGCCCAAGTGAGACCCGTGGGGGCCAACTTGCCGACCTCGAGCAGCACACCGCGAGCGGCGGTGGTGGTGCGGTCCATGGACGTGTTGTGGGGACGTGGGGAAAGCTTGGATTTATAGGGATTTAACATGGATTTCACCAAAAATTGTCCTTTAATGAGATGTAATGGGATTTAATATGGAGGGTTTCCCCAAATATGGTTTGATATGGTGTTTTTTGGTGATCTTAATAGGGATAAAATTGGTAGAATAATGGATTTTACATGATTTCACCAACAAAACTTGGGAGCTCTAGGGATTTCCAACGGGAATATATGTATAATATATTTATATATATATATAATTATGTATATATATATATTTCTATATTTGGATAATGATCGGATAATAGAATACATAATGGGTATATACATATGGAGCTTTCCTAAAATGAAGGTTCCCTAAATCATCCAAGTCATGAATGACTATGGTTTAGTATTGAAACGACCATGGTGACTTGGGAATCCACCATTTAAAGAAACAAGAAACCCCAATGTTATATATATATACACACCCTCTGGCATTCAAAAGTGGCAATGGGACATCACCCTTTTGAACAGGGAAATCATCTATAAATGATTATAAGTGAACCATTTTCCATAACTATGGTAAATTACCGGAGCGTAATAGTTATGATATATGTTGTGATAGGCGGTATTCATGGGATATTTATCGGAGATAACCAACTTAATATGATACTTGCGATATTTTAATCATAGATGGATAATAACCATGACAAATAGTGATTTAACGGGATTTACTGGGGATCTAACCAACAAAATGGGGAATTACTGGGACGGATGCGGATATAATCGTTATACATTTTTTTTTAAATCCATATATCATGGGGATATCAATGGGAGATTAGCAGGATTTATTTAGTATGGATATCAATGATATAACCCCAAGATGGTCATTTGGGTGGTCTGAAAATTGGATACAGTATGATATTTGGGTGTGTCTGAAAATTGGATATACCTCCCAAGATTGTCATTTGAAGAGAAACAAGATGATAAACCATGAAGTTTAAGGGCTAGCCCATTTCGAGACAAACCCATGTCAATCATCATCAAAGTCTTGTTGGGATTTACTTTTTGATCTTTTTGGGAGTGAACATACTATACTGAAGTACTTCAATCTTGAAGTGTATAAATGGGGATGTACACTAGGCAGCTTTAAACAACAATGGGGTTTACCAAGGTTGTCATCACCTAACTTTTTTTTGGGGGGTTGTCTTGGGTGGTGGATGTACCTGATATGTTGTGTGGGTGGGAGTTTCTGTACTTGACATTTATTGGTTGACGTAGCTCATAATCTAGTTTTTGCGGATTGATGTATATACCTCATATTTGTGGTGCTGATGTGCACTTCATAATCTTCGATTGGGAGTTGTTGTACACTTGATAACCGTGTACCGTATTGCTATGTGTTATTTGTACCTCATATTTCTTGGGCTTTTCTGTGGGTTCTTGGAATAGCTGGAAAACCTCGGGTCTGCGGGAAACCGAACGGCGCCAGGCGGGGCTTCACACCGCGGAGGCCCCGTACATCTCCGCCGGACATCTCCGTGGGGGAAGTGGTTGGATGCGGAAAAATAGGCATGTTTTTTCAGGGATATTGATGGGAAATATAAGTTGTAATTAGAAGCAACTTGTTTTTGTTTGGTGTGATGAACGAATATTGAAGATGCTGATTGAACATGATAACCATGATCATGACAACCATCCCCCAATTATGTAATATAGGCCCTGAGTATCAGCATCTTTTTGCGGAAGGTAGTCTTGCAACCCCCTAGTTGGCAGGATCGTCATGTTAGTTTGGGGGATGGTGATACTTGCTACTCTAAAATTGGGAATTTCATTCTGGGATTCATTCGCGCTCGCAGATGAAGTTTAATAGCTTGAGAAGCAGGAGCAGCTCGCACTAGAGGTGCAATTTTTAAGCACGATTGGCCATGTTCTAAGTGCCTTTCCTATGTTTTTTGGCCTTCGCCACTTCCCTTTGCAAGTCAACTTTCCGGAGGATCTGTTTCCTCAACCATCCGGATGAATTTGGGTATGTTGCAAATTGTTGGTTTCAAATCCTCAAAAGTCTCAAAAGCCCTGAATTCGATGGCTTCAGATCCTGAACATGATTTACATGTTGTTCGCCTTTTGTCGTTCCATTTGAGCCAAAAACTACTTGCGGTCCCGTGAGGTCCGATTTGACCACCCGGATGACGCTCTGGAAGCTCTTGTGAGGCCGGACCTGGGACGGTTTGGGGGTTCAAAGGGGGGATCCCCAGTCGTCACGATGGTTGTTTCAATACTCAAATGGTCATAACTGGTCTACTTTGGATGATTTGGGGATTCCCCATTTCAGGCACATTCATTGGCACACTTTCTCTTGGGTAAGTGGTGTGGTACCTTCCAACCGGCCTCTGACGATGTGTTTGAACAAATCGGGACGTGGTTCTGGTTCAGGTACACAGTGGTGATGATTTTTTTGCGTTTCTTCCTTTTTTAAAATCATACTCGTAATTTTCTGTGTTCCAATGCACATGTCTGTTGCTTATATATGTCTACAGATTATAAGTTACATCCGAACTTTGAGTTGGTTGAATCCGTTTTTTTTTTGGTGGTGAAGTTTTTGCAGCTTAAAAAAACACGGTGTTTGCTGGTAACTCCAGATCTTGGTCTGTTGAATCCCAAGTTTTCTTGGAAAAAATGGTGTGAAATCGCCCATTTCTGGATCCAGGTCCAATGGTAGCCTCATTCAAGGCTATCAAGTGTCTGCAGGGAGTCCTGGAGGTTTTCCACTGTGAGGGGCGATTTTGTGTGACTTCGATTTCCTGGTGTCATGAATATATAGAGTGGTATTATGTATATGAAGTGGTTCGCTTTTTTTAGAATCCCACACAATCACATCTAATCTAATCTGACCTAATCTATCTCAACAACAGAACTTGGGGAAACATTTTTACCAGGACATCGCGGTCGTAAACTTTACGTCCAGATGGAGGTGATGAAATTCATACCAAATGGGAGAAACAATCTATAAATTATAAATGGTTATTGTATAAGTGGGAAATGGGATACAACAAAAATATTATGGATTAGATTATTATGTACATTAATATAAATGGTCACTTTATGTTGCTATATAAATGGTGATTGAATATGATTTCAATCGACACATCACCTTCACATGGCTATTTAAATGGGAAATTGATCTGTAAATGTGGGATGTTCCAGCAAGCCATGCGAGTGATTACCAGAGAACCCTCGGGAATCTACATCTGTTCCTAAGCACTCTATGTACAGCTATATAGCATTCTAGATCATGAATCCCTTGCCTGTAGTATTTAAAGTCTTTATCCGTATTGGATCTGTATCTGAACTGACAAATCTAAATGTTTATCTTTATCTGATCGTTATCTGATACTATCTGATTTATTCTCTAGCTATCGATCAAAAAAATCACCTATCTACTGATCTACGTATCTACGTATATACCTATCTACCTATCTGCCTATCTACCTATCTACCTATCTACCTATCTACCTATCGATCCATTATGTACTGTATTGCTCTACTGCTCTATTGCTCTATTGATCTATTGCACTGTTGACCTAGTGATTTATTGATCTATTGATCTATCCGCCTATCTACCTATCTAATCTATCTATCCATCTACCTATCTAACTAACTAACTAACAAACTAACTAACTAACTAACAAACAAACTAACTAACTAACTATCCAACAAACTAACTAACTAACTAACTAACTAAGTAACTAAGTAACTAACCAAGTAAGTAACTAACTAACTAACAAACAAACTAACAAACTAACAAACAAACTAACTAACCAAGTAACTAAGTAACTAAGTAACTAACAAAGTAACGAACTAACTAACTAACTAACTAACTAACTAACAAACAAACAAACAAACTCATCTACTAATCTATCTATCTTATCTATCTTATCTATCTTATCTATCTAATCTATCTAATCTATCTAATCTATCTAATCTGTCGAGTCTATCCAATCTATCTAACCTATCTAATCTATCTAATCTATCTATCTGTCTAATCTATCTAATCTATCTAATCTGTCTAATCTGTCTAATCTGTCTAATCTGTCTAATCTATCCAATCTATCCAATCTATCCAATATATCTAATCTATCTAATCTACCTAATCTGTCTAATCTGTCTAATCTGTCTAATCTGTCTAATCTATCCAATCTATCCAATCTATCCAATCTATCCAATCTATCTAATCTATCTAAACCATCTAATCCATCTAATCCATCTAATCCATCTAATTCATCTAATCCATCCAATCCATCTAATCCATCTAATCCATCTAATCCATCTAATCCATCTAATCAATCTAATCAATCTAATCCATCTAATCCATCTAATCCATCTAATCCATCTAATCTATCTGATCTATCGAATCTATCGAATCTATCGAATTTATCGAATCTATCTAACCTATCTAATCTATCTAATCTATCTAATCGATCTAATCGATCTAATCGATCAAATCGATGTAATCGATCTATCGATCTCTCGATCCCTCGATCTATCGATCTATCGATCGATCTATCTATCTACCTATCTATCTATCTAGTCTAATCTTATCTTATCTTATTTTATCTTATCTTATCTTATCTTATCTATCTCTCTCTCTATCTATCAATCTAATCTAATCTAATCTAGTCTAATCTAATCTAATCTAGTATAACTAATATATCTATTATCTAATCGATCTAATCTAATCTTCTAATCTATCCAATCTAATCTATCTAGTCATGTCTAATCTATCTAATCTATCTAGTCTATCTAGTCTATCTAATCTATCTAATCGACGTCTTATCTAATTTATCCCAAACTAATCTAATCTAATCTAGTCTAATCTAATCTAATCTATCTTATCTATCTTATCTATCTACCTATCTATCTGTCTATCTGTCTATCTGTCTATCTGTCTATCTGTCTATCTGTCTAATCTATGTAATCTATCCAATCTATCCAGTCTATCCAATCTATCCAATCTATCCAATCTATCGAATCTATCGAATCTATCGAATCTATCTAATCTATCTGAATCTATCGAATCTATCGAATCTACGATCTATCGATGTATCTATCTATCTATCTATCTATCTATCTATCTATTATCTATCTATCTATCTATCTAATCTATTCTTATCTAATCTAATCTAATCTAATCAGATTAGTCTAATGTAATCTAATCCCATCTAATCTAATCTAATCTATTTAATCTAACTAATAACTATCTAATCGATCTAATCCACCCTCCAATCTATCCAATCTAATGTATCTAATAATGTCTGATCTATCTAATCTATCTAGTCTATCTAATCTATCTAATGTATCCTAATCTTATCTAATTTATCCCAATCTAATCTAATCTAGTCTAATCTAATCTAATCTAATCTAATCTCTCTAGTCTATCAGGTCTATCTAGTCTATCTAATCTATCTAATCTACGTCTTATCTAATTTATCCCAATCTAATCTAATCTAATCTAGTCTAGTCTAATCTTTTCTAATCTAATCTAATCTAATCTATCTAATCTATCTAATCTATCTAATCTATCTAATCTATCTAATCTATCTATCTATCTATCTGTCTGTCTGTCTATCTATCTGTCTATCTGTCTATCTGTCTATCTGTCTATCTGTCTATCTGTCTATCTGTCTATCTGTCTATCTGTCTATCTGGCTATCTGTCTATCTGTCTATCTGTCTATCTGTCTATCTGTCTAATTTAACTACTCTATCTATTATCTAATCGATCTAATCTAATCTTCCAATCTATCCAATCTAATGTATCTAATCATGTCTAATCTATCTAGTCTATCTAATCTATCTAATGTATCCTAGTCTTATCTAATTTATCCCAATCTAATCTAATCTAATCTAGTCTAGTCTAATCTAATCTAATCTATTCTATCCAATCTATCTAACTAATCTACTGTAATCAATCTATCTATCTGATCCTATCGAATCCTGTATGCAGAATACATAGCCAAGTACACAATCCCATTCCCATACCCCAGAAACCACGGATTACGACGGGATTTACACATATTTGGGACCATACAATGGGGGTGTTTAAGCGGGCTGGAGAAGATAGCACATGGACATGTCAAGAATTTTCCCCTCAAATCATAGCTTACACAATTTGCTAGGCGCCCTTAAGCAAGCCATGGAAATTCCATATTCTATGTACATCAGGATATATGTACACAATGTATATATAAACATATATATATAGATACACGATGTGTGTAATATATATAATATATCATATATATATATGTGGTTTATATATCATACTTATATATGTTTACAAGTGTGTTAGAAAACAGGTACCTCTCAGTGGCTCTTCAGCCTGTCTCAAAATTGCCTCGATCAGGTGGAGCTGGACCCGACGTCAATGGACCGGCTCGGCGACTTGGGGGACGCTTGATATTAACTGATCAGAAATCTTATCAATGTTATTAAACTATATTGAATAATATTATTAACGATTTATTCAATAACATTGCGACTCAAAACGCTGCTGTTCTTCATGTTATTTCATCGATGTGAAATAGATATTGCGATGTTTCAATCATGTTTATTATTTAAATACTAGCTAGATATTGTTTTGGAATCAATCTTTCATGACGTATTTTTTTTGGCACAGCCATATCTTTCACATTCTGGTTGAACTGAAGTGCTATCAACTTTTGAGAGGCGGGTATGTAGTTGGAAACAACTTGGGCAATATTGGGAGGTGGTGCCCCCATAGGTCTAAGTTGGTTTATTACCATATTATAGTTATAATCACGATCAACTTAGTTTAACTAGTCATAAACCAATTTCGCTAAACATGATGGACAGCTTTTTGCATGGCTTAATCAGCAGAAATTTTCCCCACGACATCCACTACTACTTTCAAGCGAAACCTTTTTGCGAGGTCCAAATTGCGTGTTGCGGGCCTGCCCCCTGGCATGCAGTGGCAGGAAGTGAAGGTTGGGGCACCCGGGTTTTGCTGAGATGGTGTTGTTTTGTCGAAATGGGACATCCAAAAAAAATCCGCTGGGATTTTTTGGAGCCTGTCTACTCTGGATTTTGGTTTTTGGGACTTATTTTTTTTCCGGAAATCTTTGAAGTTTATATATATATATATGTGTATTTGCAGGGGGGGTTCCTTAAGCCAAAAGCAAATCCAAGACCATTGTGAAAAAGGGCACCGTTAACTTGTGGGTGGTCAGATTGTTTTGCTTTAAGGATTTGGATGTGTTCTTCATGTGTACAAGAGGGAACATGGAGAGGGTGACTGGATCATAGGTCATGACCCTCTTCATTTTTTGATGGCAAGAATTTATGGGGCAGACATTCAGCCCGTGACCAGTTTTCCAAAAGGCACGGCCCAACACCCTTGTCGTTCGGGAGTATTGCCTCCCATGCTGCGTAGCTAAGTGGCAGAGCCACCATTTTTTCCTGATGCTTTGCTGTTGGCAAAACATGTTGCTTGTTGAACTGCCAACTTGTTGAAATCAGAACCAAGAAAAACCCAAGATGACCATCGCTTGGGCGCCCAACACCAGCCATCGCCATTCCCCACCACGCCAGGACCACTTTTCTCAGTTCGGGCAAGTGGGATTTGCTCAAGTCAGTCGGTAAGCTTGGTGATTTTGTTCGACGCCAAACCAGACGTTTTCAAACCTGGTTGGTTCGCCTCAAAGTGAGCTACATCGATTTATGATGATTTATGGTGTTAGACCACTAAAATGATGTTTCCGATTACCTTGGGGTGATTAACAGTTTGCCATAGTTTCAATGGCCTATTAATTATTTAGTTCGTTGATTTTGCAATTGTTTAATTTAATGGCGACTGTCCAGCTCGCAAACTGTTAGTTCACCAGGGGCAAAGGCTCCTCGGAGGTGTTTCTTCAAAGTAGATGAAGGAAGAAAAGACTGGGATTTCAATAGAGATCAAGAAGTCGGTGCCCCACAGTCAGCTTAATTGGTTTACTTCGCTAGGTGCATGGTTTATGATATATATATATATATCGAAGTAGTTAATGGGTGTTGTAGAGCAACAAACATGATATATGGGGGACATCACCAAGCATCTTGTTTGGGTTGCTGGTGGATCCCCCACGACTTGAATGTCCATCCCTTCCACCAAGTGGATTTTCCTGGATCGGTTCCTTTTTCGGGGTCCCAGCCGGAGGGGATTGGAATATGACCCAACGGTACCCAACGCCCAGCCGGGAGCCCTCGACAATGACGACATTTTGTAGGTCCAGTCGTACCTCAACTTCGATGCACAGCCTAGTGACTAGACTGGGCTTGAAAATAAGATATTTATAGATATCTAAGATACCCCACAGTCCACTGGTTCATCAGCATTTTCCATATTGCCATAGATTGCCTGAGGTCCCTCGAGTGGCACAGCGCGAGCAGCGCCTGTGGTGTGGTCCACGGGGGACGTGTCATGGTGTACCTGGGGGAAGCTTGGGATTTATGGGGATTTAACATAATCTCACCAAGAAAAATGGTGATTTAATGGGATTTAAGAACTGATTTCACCAACAAAAGTTGGGAGTTCTACGGATTGCCAATGGGGATATACTGCGATAGTCATGGGATAATTTTAGGATAGTAATGGGTGTATGGATGTACATGGAGCTTTCCTAAGTCGTGAGGGTACCCCAAATTATCCAAGTCATGGATGGCCATGATGTAGTATTGAAAAGCCATGGGGATCCTAAATTTTAAGAAATCCCAATATACCCTCTGGCAGCTGAACGTGGCAATGGGAAATCTCCCTTTTGAATAGACCGTCTATAAATGGGCAATTTTCCACAACAATGTTAAATTACCAGAGGGTACTGTCATAGTTACGATACTCCGGGAGATTCGCTATTTTTGGGATGTAACCAACCTGATATTATATAATTATATAATGGGATTCTAGTCATAGATGGAGAAGTAAACCACGGAAAATAGTGATATCAATGAGATATTCGTAGGATTTCGTAGAGCTATCAATGATATGACCAACTTGATACGATGTCTGGGTGTGTCTGAAAATGGGATATACTGTAAATATACCACCAATATTTTCATTTGAAGAGTACATGATACAGAATGAAATGTAAGAGCTAGCCCATTTTAAAACAAACCCATGTCAATCATCATCAGAGTGTTTTTGAGATTTACTTTTTTTTGGGGGGGATGACTATACTATACTTTAGTACTTCAATCTTGGACTATGTATATGAATGGGGAATCATGGGGATGTATATGAACCGGCTTTAAAGCAGTGGGGTGCCTAAGGTTGGCAATGTCATAACCTCACGTTTTTGTTTGGGGGGTGGTGGATGTACCATGTACAGTACCTGATATGTTGTTTGGGTTGAGATTCTGAGGGGAGTTGATTTACTTGGTACTTATTTTGCGGATTATCTACCATTTTCTTTGATATTCATTGGTCGATGTACCTGATAATTTAGTTTTTGCCGGTTGATGTATATACCTCATATTTGTGGTGTTGATGTGTGCCATAATCTTTTACTCGCAGTTGCCGCAGTTGCTTTAATTTATAATCGTATTACTATGTGTTATTTGTACCTGATATTTATTGGAGTTTCGTGTGGGCAATTCTTTGACCTTGACTATCACAATGGTCCGAGTGGGAAACCTTGGGCGAAAGATGAGCTCGGGCCTGTGGCCCCCCCCTGTGTCAGTGTGAATTTCCCGCATTGTGATCAAAGCCGGAAGATAAGGTACATCACATAATTAGTTCACATGCCCGGTTTTTTTGGGACATGAGACATCCCTCCCAATTTTCTTGTTAATACCACAAGTTTCTTCGGTGAAAATCCCAAGTTCTTGGGAAACAAACCAAATTTCGTGCATAAAAATCCCAATTTCTTGGGTGAAAATTCCAAGTTCTTGGATAAAAAAATCCAAAATTTGCGCATGAAAATCCAAATTTCTTGGATGAACTCTTAAAAACATCTAATTTCTTGGCTGAAAATCCAACTTTCTTGGTTAAATCTCCTAAATTGTTGGGTAAAACTCCCAATTTCTTGGGTGAATATACCACTTTCTTGGGTGAACATCACCATTTTGTGTTGGTTCTTGGACCATGGTTCATGCTCAGGGGCTTCAGAAAAGCGCGGAGGCCCCGGAGGGCCCTGGAAAAAAATTGCGAGAATTGGTTGGTTGGATGCGGACAAATAGGATCAAATAGGGATGTTTTATAGGATCGATGGTATATTGATGGTATATTGATGGGATATTGATGGGATATTGATAGGATATTGATGGGATATTGATGGAATATATATATATATATCTATATACATATATATATATACACTGTATACATATATATCTGAATTGTAGAACCAACTTGATTTTTTGATGATTATTGAAAATGCTAAACATGATAACCATGATAACCATGCCCCAAATATATAATATAGACCTGGAGAATCAACAATTTTTGGAGGCAGGTAGTCTTGCGACCCCTAGTTGGCAGGATCGTCATGTTAGTTTGGGGGATGGTGGTATTGCCATTCTAAAACGGGAATTTCATTCTGGGATTCATTCGCGCTCGCAGATGGTATTTACAGTAATAGCAACAAAAATAGCAGGAGCAACTGGCACTACACGGGATGATTGAGATTGCCCGTGCTCTAAGTGTTTTTCCTCTTTTTGTTGGCCTTCGCCCTTCGCTTTGTAAATGAACCGTTTTTACCGCTTGACTGGATGAGGATTTGTTTCCTCAACCATCCAGAGGAAGGTATGTTGTTTCCCCAACCATCCAGAATGTGGGTATGAATCTACTGTAGAATTCTTGGTTTCAAATCCTGGGGTCCCACCCATCTGCTCCGTCAGGTCCGGTTCGACAATCCGGATGACGCCCTGGAAGCTCTTGCAAGGCCTCGTTCGGAGCGATTTAAGTCGATGGTGTGGCCTGGGGCGGTGGGCAGTTAGACTTGAGCAGTTGGGGATTTCTTAAGTCATGGAGAATCCTCAAGTCACCATGGTTGTCTCAATACTAATTCAGCACCATGTCGGTGGTTTTGTGTGTTTACCAGTCATTTTTTTGGGTTCCAATGCACATTCTGTGGCTTAGATATGGTGATGTTACATGATGTTACATGATGTTACATGATGTTACATGATGTTACATTGTTTAGTTACATCCGAATCTTTAGTTGGTTGAATCCAATTTTTTGCACCCTCCAAATTCTTGCACCCTCCAAATGATTGCTGGTTGAAGTCTCTGTGAACTCTCCTAACTTTCAGGTGCAACGGTAGCTTCATTCACGGCTATCAAGTGTCTGCAGGGACCCCGGACGGCGTTTTCGATGTGGTAAAAAGGGATGGTAATTTTTGGGGGTGGTCCACTATCGGCCTTCGATGTCCAGGATTCATGATTACAGAAAGGTATGATGTTTCATGAAGTTCCCCTTTTTTTCCGCAACAAAGAATCCCAAATTAGTCGATACGTATCTACGAATTTGATGGAAATTGAATCTACTGTAATCAAAATTGAATCTAATCTGACCTAATCATTTGGATGGGAAACATCACCGAGGATATTCAAACGGGAAATCCTTTGAACATGGCAGGAGGGAAATTGCTCCGGGATTTTCCAGTCAGCCATGTGAGTGATTACCAGGGAATCTACGTCTGTTACTAAACACTCTACAGCTATACTATATAATCTCCACGCCTATGTAAGTATTTCGAATCTGTATTTGTATTGGATCTGTATCCAAATCAAAGCTAACAAATCTAAAGCAATATCAAATCCAATCCAATCCTAAACAAAATCTACGATGTCGATCTTTATCTGATCGTTATCTGATCCTGTCTGATTTCTTACCTAGCTACCGATCAACCTATTTACCTTCCATGTATCTATTCTATCTCTTCTATCTATTCTATCTATTCTATCTGTTCTATCTGTTCTATCTATTTCTATCCATTCCATCTATTCTATCTATTTCTATCCATTCCATCTATTCTATCTATTTCTATCTATTCTATCTATTCTAGCTAGTCAATCTTTTTCTATTTCTTCTATATATTCTATCTATCCTATCCCATCCCATCCGATTCTATTTTATTATATTTTATTCTATTTTATTCTATTTTATTCTATGTTATCCTATTTTGTTATGTTGTATTCTATTTTATTCTGTTTCATTCTATTTATTCTATTTTATTCGATTCGATTTGATTCTATCTATCTATCTATCTACCTATCTGCCTGTCTGTCTGTTTGTCTGTCTGTCTGTCTATCTATCTATCTATCTCTCTCTCTCTCTCTCTTCATCTATCTATCTATCTGTCTGTCTGTCTGTCTATCTATCTATTCATCTATCTCTCTATCTCTTTATCTATCTCTCTATCTCTCTATTTGTTTGCCTTGCTATCTAGTTCTTTGTACACAATATATAGACAAAGATGTCAAAGTACATAATCCCATCCCCTAATATTAAACATCCCTCAGGAACAATGGTTTACTAGGATATTTTGCACATATTTGGGACCATACAATGGGAGTGTTTAAGCGGGATGGGATTACATACACAACATATTTATCTATACATAATATAGTCATACTGGAGAAGATAACATATGGACATTTCAAGAAATCCTCCCTAAAATGTGAATAGTATTGACAATTCTATATTCTATCTACATCAGGATGACTGTATATACATATATATATACCATTATTTATACACCATATGTGTATATAATAGTATATATATATATATTTATAGATGTAATGTATATGTATGTATACATCATATATATATATATCATCATAATATATATATATGCTTGCAAGTGGTGCATGTACAGTACATAGAAAACAGCGACCTCTCAGTGGCGCCTTCCAGGTGGACCTGGACCCGACGTCCATGGACCGGCAGGGCGACTCGGGGGTCGAACAGGAACAATGGTGATTGAACCGGTGTAGTATAGATAGATCTGGGTAAATTATAATGACCTCACTGCGACCTCACTATAATCATAGTTAGTAAGGGGAATCATCCCCAAATGGCCTTAATTCAGGTTGGTGAAATATTATAATTTACCCAGATAGATATAGAGATAGGTGATATAGATATGGATATAGAGATAGCATAGAGATAGGTATAGGTGATCTCCAAAAATGGGGATGTTTCTGGTTAAGTATAGGGATATAGAGATAGATCATCTGGATTCTCGTTGAGTGCTGTGCTCCCTGAGTTCGTTTGTAAGTAGGTAAAACATGGGTTGCAGAAAAATCATGGAACTACTGGTAGTTAGTAAACATAAGTTTTCAAAACCATTCACCATACTAGATGGTTAAACAATATATAAACGATATATACTGATATATAGATATATGGTACTTATAAGTTGGGCAATGGGGTTTTGACAATCAGAAAGCAACCAACACAACGTGGGGGCACCATCTATTAGTGCCTATATATGCCTACATATGCCCATTTTTTTCTGCCTATATATATACCTATATATATGCCTATATATATATATGCCTATATATATATATGCCTATATATATGCCTATATATATGCCTATATATATATGCCTATATATATATGCCTATATATATGCCTATATATATGCCTATATATATGCCTATATATATATGCCTATATATATATGCCTATATATATATGCCTATATATATATGCCTATATATATATATGCCTATATATATATGCCTATATATATGCCTATATATATGCCTATATATATGCCTATATATATGCCTATATATATGCCTATATATATGCCTATATATATGCCTATATATATGCCTATATATATGCCTATATATATGCCTATATATATGCCTATATATATGCCTATATATATATATGCCTATATATATATGCCTATATATATGCCTATATATATGCCTATATATATATGCCTATATATATATGCCTATATATATATGCCTATATATATGCCTATATATATGCCTATATATATGCCTATATATATGCCTATATATATGCCTATATATATGCCTATATATATGCCTATATATATGCCTATATATATGCCTATATATATGCCTATATATATGCCTATATATATGCCTATATATATGCCTATATATATATATGCCTATATATATATGCCTATATATATATATGCCTATATATATATATATATGCCTATATATATATGCCTATATATATATGCCTATATATATATATGCCTATATATATATGCCTATATATATATGCCTATATATATATGCCTATATATATATGCCTATATATATATGCCTATATATATGCCTATATATATATGCCTATATATATATGCCTATATATATATATGCCTATATATATATATGCCTATATATATATGCCTATATATATATGCCTATATATATATGCCTATATATATATGCCTATATATATATATGCCTATATATATGCCTATATATATGCCTATATATATGCCTATATATATGCCTATATATATGCCTATATATATGCCTATATATATGCCTATATATATATGCCTATATATATATATATGCCTATATATATGCCTATATATATATGCCTATATATATATGCCTATATATATATATATATGCCTATATATATGCCTATATATATGCCTATATATATGCCTATATATATGCCTATATATATGCCTATATATATATGCCTATATATATATATGCCTATATATATATATGCCTATATATATATATGCCTATATATATATGCCTATATATATATGCCTATATATATATGCCTATATATATATGCCTATATATATATGCCTATATATATATGCCTATATATATATGCCTATATATATATGCCTATATATATATATGCCTATATATATGCCTATATATATATGCCTATATATATATGCCTATATATATATGCCTATATATATATATGCCTATATATATATGCCTATATATATATGCCTATATATATATATATGCCTATATATATGCCTATATATATGCCTATATATATATGCCTATATATATGCCTATATATATGCCTATATATATGCCTATATATATGCCTATATATATGCCTATATATTGGAATATTGGGATATGTGTGGAGTATCGATTTTTTACATGATCTCTGGGTGTGTCTGAAAATGATTAGAATCCATCGGATCTGCAGTGGATCCGATTTTTAGACATTTAATGGTGGAAAACCATAGGAAAACCATAGGAAAATGGTGGTTTAATGGTGGTTTAATGGGGTTTAACCAACAAAATGGTGGTTTTAATGGGATGTACCCTCTGGTTATGTCAAAATAGCTATTGACAATGACCATTTATAGTGGATTTTCCCATTAAAAATGGTGATTTTCCATAGTCATGTTAGTTTACCAGAGGGTATATGATGTTGATTGAAACTGGCTAGAATTTGCATATTTCATGTTATTTCATCAATCACTGTAGAGGTTGTTTGGAAGCGATTTTCAATGTTTTTTCTGATTTTGAGCAAACCCAAGAATGGAGGGAGCTGTGAATGAAGCCATGGTTGTATCCAGATTCCCAATAGAAGTTGGGACCCAATTAGCTATTGGAGTTTCCCGACCACATCATAGATAATACATTTATAGAATCAAATTTTGTCATTGAATAAACAATCATCCAATTTTTTTGACTGATCCATTTCATGGCTGAACATTGATCACAGGTGTTCACATTGATCAATGAAGGATTTAGACAAAGCTTTCAGGCGCAGTGGCCAATGACCATTGACACCGTGCAAAGCCCATCAACAATGATGCAAAAAAATGGATGTCCGCAATATTTTTTGTTTGGCACAGCCAGATCTTTCACATTCTGGTTGAACTGAAGTGATATCAACTTTTGAGAGGTGGGTATGTAGTTGGAAAAAAATATGTGGTACCCAACATCTCCAAGTCAGCAGAAAAGAATGAGAATCTTGGGGAGGTGGTGCCCCCATAGGTATAAGTTGGTTTATTACCGTATTATATAGTTATAATCACGATCAACTTAGTTTAACTAGTCGTAAACCAACTTCGCTAAGCATGATGGACAGCACCAACCGTATGTGTCTGCAATTGTTTGCGAGGTCCAAATTGCGTGTCGCGGGCCTGCCCCCTGGCATGCAGTGGCAGGAAGTGAAGGTAGGGGGACTCGGGTTTTGCTGAGATGGTGTTGTTTTGTCGAAATGGGACCAAAAAGAATCCGCTGGGATTTTTTGGAGCCTTTCTACTCTGGATTTTGGTTTTTGGGACTTATTTTTTTTTCCGGGAATCTTTGAAGTTTATATACTCCGGGTATATATATATATATGTATTTGCGGGGGGGGCTCCTTAAGCCAAAAGCAAATCCAAAACCATTGTGAAAAAGGGCACCGTTAACTTGTGGGTGGTCAGATTGTTTTGCTTTAAGGATTTGGATGTGTTCTTCGTGTGTACAAGAGGGAACATGGAGAGTCAGAGTGACTGAATCATAGGTCAGGACCCTCTTCAGATTCTTGAAGCTCAATCTGCAAGACGTCAAGAATTCATGGTGCAGACATTCAGCCCGTGACCAGTTTTCCAAAAGGCCCGGCCCAACACCCTTGTCGTTCGGGAGTATGCATCCCATGCTGCGTAGCTAAGTGGCAGAGCCAGCATTTTTTCCTGATGCTTTGCTGTTGGCAAAACATGTTGCTTTTTGAATTGCCAACTTTTGCAGATCAGAACCAAGAAAAACCCAAGATGACCATCGCTTGGGCGCCCAACACCAGCCAGCCAGGACCACTTCTCTCAGTTCGGCCAAGTAGGATTTGCTCAAGTCAGTCCGCAAGCTTAGTGAAATGGGCTGCACCGATTTTTCGGGTCTTGGAGTTTTGGAGCCCCCAGAATGCGGTTTCCTATGACACCCTTGGTGTCATGTAAACCGCTTTGCTATTGTAATCTGTTGTTTCAATGGCCTATTTCGATCTATTTAGTTCGTTGATTTTCCCATTGAAACCTCCGTTTATGAAGGATCAGAGGTGCAAGAATGTTCACTGGAGGTCCCCGTTTACCTCTTTCAGGACGGAAAAACCATGAAAAACCACAGTCATTTCAGCCCTTCCACCGGATCATCCTGGATCTGTTTCTTTTTTGGGGTCCCCTTGGAGGGGATTGGAATATGACCCAACGTCCAGCCGGAGCCCTCACAATGGATGGTTTTTCGTATAAATAATGACGAAATTGTGTAGGTCCAGTCGTACCTCAACTTTGATGCACAGACTGCACAGACTAGACTCGGGCTTGAAAATCAGATATCTGAGATACCCCACAATCCACTGGTTCATCAGCATTTTCCACATTCAATTGCCATAAATGGGCCCATCCTTGGCAGATCTTGGCAGCATTTTGGCCCTTTGGCGACCGCTTTGTATAGCAAGTTCGTTTCAACCCACAACCAGTTGCGGCATCATGACCCAGCAGGCTGACGCCAAACCCGGTGGTGGGATGTGGTTGGCGGATTCCTTGGTCTCGGAAAAACTATGCCCTTGCTGCGACCTGGTAGTTTATGCGAATGGGAGAACTATCTCCAACTGAAAAGCCTGAAAATTTCAGTTTAGTGAAATTTAATGAAGTTTAGGTCGTTTATAAATTATCCAAATGAACCCATCTTCAGCTTCCCTATCGGTGGAGTCCCGTTTAGAAAAACGGGTGGTTTTGCTAAGCCGATAAGCCGACATGGGAATAACTGGGATGAACTCGCAACATGAGGGGTACAATAACAATAAATATACATAATAATGGGGAATAGAGTGGGAATATTCATGGAATATGGATGGGATATGATATATTCAAAAACCATTGCTGTGTAGTAGATGATGATCAATCACTGGACGGCATGGGATACAGTACCCTATGTTCACACAAACCCGTTCGGATATTTCGGATGATTTCTTTTTGCCGGGCCTACATGCAACATCATGCAACCTGCAACCAAGATCAAAGTGCCGCGATAACCAACTTAGACACGTATTCGTAGTATGAACAGGCATGCTGACTTATGACACGATCAACGAGCTTGGCTTACACCCACCGACAGACACGGTCACATCAACTTAAGGCAGCAAACACATACACACGTACACTCACATAACATATATACATATATACTGGTTGGTGGTTTCAAACTTTTTTTATTTTCCATTTCATATATGGGATGTCATCCTTCCCATTGACTAATATTTTTCAAGATGGTTAAAACCACCAACCAGTATATACATATCATATATCATATATATATATATGTATATATGTTCATATAAAATTAATGTATACACATGGGTTTTGGCATCTGGCACCTGGGCTGAAAATGATGCTTCCCCTCATCGGATGGTGATCCTCATATATCCCAAAGTTGGGTGATTTTTCTCCTGTTCTTTTAACGTTTTCTACACAATCTCTGCAAGCCCGGTTGCCCCCCAACTGTTAGCCGCCCTGGTTTAGGATTGGAATGGATTGGATCTATTCACGAATTGAGGGGTCAGCTTTTTTTTTTTCGGGTACCCTCTGGTAAACTAACATAGCTATTGAAAAATGGCCATTTATAGTGGATTTACCCATTAAAAATGGTGATTTTCCATAGCTATGTTAGTCTACCAGAAGGTATAACTTCGAACGGATGATGGGATTGAGATCTGCCTTGGTAGGCAGATAGTCCTAGCATCCACTTGACGTTCATCGACGGAGAAGTGGAAGTCGTGAATCGCAACACGTTCCTTGACGTGGATGTCCTGTCGCCCGATTCGCGAGAGGCTGGGACCGACCCAGGGACCCAGGGACCCAGGGATGGATGGAAACAGGGATGAACTGAGAACTGGGGGTCATTTTTTAATGATGCTTTATCATTTTTTATCATAATTCATGCTTCATTCCTAACAATGAGTGATTGTAGTCATTGTTATCATCAGTACTGAAAGGCGGAAAGGTCTCTTTGGATCAAGAATACAAAAGCCTGTCCGTTCATACCTTTCCGAAATGGAGATATAGCATGAACTACTGTAGCCAATATACCACCCTGGAACCGGCCAGGGGGGTCATAAACAAGGGTAGTTGGCCTTTGGCTGCAGGAAGGGATTTGTGTTAGTGGTAACCAAAATGATGAAGGGTAATGTCAACCCAGGATTAATAAATCAATATAAATATAAATCATAATAACTCACCAGTTTACTAATAGAGGCAGCGGATCCCATTTTGGTAGTATACAATCGCACTTTATAGTCGCCCTCACCTATTCAACTGAGTTCTATAACTCTGGATTCTGGATATAATGTGGTTGACTTTTTCTTTGTGTGGGAAACCCAATATATAATACACCGAATATTTGGAGATGGTTAATACTCCATAAAAATGGTGATTTTTCGGGTGATCGTTTCTTATCGGGTTTACCGTTACCACATAAGTATACATAAGTAGTTTTTAGCAACAGCTTGCCATGTTGCTGGACTTTTCTGACCCGAAAAAAAAGACATCAGGAGCTCCGGCGTACCAACAGCTGCCCAGCATTGCTGTTTTTTCACGAAGAGATGCTTGGATCGACCCTGCTCTGCACATAGGGTCGATGTTGGGAGGGTCGGATCAGGATCGGAATAAAATGCCGATAGTGACCTATATATAAGCGACATTCAGCGACAATATTGATACATCAACACTCATGTATTCCAATATCAATGAGTAGTAAAATCAACGCTAAAAAATATAGTTATTATGTGAACATAATTGAACACACACACACATATATATGATTATATATGTATATATATAGAGTCTTGTTATTTTTTGTATATGTGAAATATAGCAATGAACGAGTCCTTGTGTTTCTCCACTTTTTGGTCTGCTTGGGGCCATGGATGGCATCATTCATGACTCAGAGATCTGCAGGCCAGCAGGCCATGAGTCCGGTTGTAGAAACTTGTCATGCTTTGTCCACTTTTTGGGGTGGGGGATACCCCAAGATTCTGACAAGAATTCCCTGAATTTTCCCAGCTATTTTGGCATGGAATATGCTCGGCCTTGGAATATGGGCAAGAAATTGCTAGAAGAATTCAAGATGTCTGAAACAGACATTTTTAGCACCGACAGCTGCTGGGGAATGATACATCATGATCCAAGACCCCAAGATAGATCTGACACACCCATGTTGATATGAGTGAAAAATCTCCAAATTCTTCGAGAAATTCGTTGTTTTATGTCGTTGCTAAAACTACCCAAACTGGTTGTTTAACATAGCTATTGGAAATGGCCCAATAGATGATTTATGATGATTTACCTATTAAAGATATTGATTTTCAATGGCTACGTTAAATAAGCAAAGGGTGGAGTGAATTTTGGGTCCACTCCTTGGAGACGACTGAGGCAGAGCCCTGATATCATGGATAGCAAACATTGGGTTCCTTGGACGAAAGAGAACCGGAACAAACTCTGTTTGTTTTTGGAATTTTTGTAATATAGAATATAGATTATCATAATATATATATATATAAAACCCCCAAAAAGATAGAGACGTATTTGTATAGAATGGCTGCTGAATGATTCGTTTTCCCCATAATTCCCAGCTATAGTATCTGTGGATCATGGTAGTATTTACAGTAAATGATAGAAAAGCGGACCGAAACTGACCGAATGACCACTTGGAAACTATTTCTGGAAGTCCTCGATCTTCTCGCCGCAGCGCTTTGAAAGACACGACACGCTGTATCTACCTCATTCTAAATTTCTTCTCGTCACAGGGGAGTGTGGCAAAAAGAGGTGACACAATTCCTTTCAAAAACTTCTTTTCGTAGGCATTCTATGTGTACCTCTGGTATTTTACAAAAAGAGATGACCAATGAAGTCCTGCAATGCACAGTTTTGAGAAACGCACCTGTTCAGCTGAGTTTTGGGTCCGGCATTTTACTGGTGCAGCGAAATTCCTTACGAGAGTTTTTTTCATAGGCATTCTTTGTTTACCTCCGGGTTTTTATTGGCTTTGTGTTTCCTTGCGATTTTGCTGTCAAAGCATTCGAACAAGTGTTTTCGTACCTAGATCTCCGGCATCAAACTTGAAGACTATGCTACAAACAATAGTTTTCTGAAACTGCTTTAATGCATGAAGCGGCATGTTAGTGGCTCGGCATTGTTTTTTTGCCACATGTGCTGTGCAAACAGTCTAAACTTATTTACAACCCATCCTTTCTGTGCGGAAAACCTTCAAAAAACGGTAAAAAGTGGGCAAGTGTAGCATACCATGGATTCTACTCGTACCTTAAAATATAGGGCCTCCTGCGTTTTTTCTACATGTTTTCCACTGAACTGTCCATTCTAAGTTTGGGATGGTGTTTTTTGGTATGATGACCAGTCATTTTAACTGCCGTCATTCTATATAAGTTAAGGGTTAAATTTTTGGAAACCCGACCATCCATTCTAAGTTTCAGTCCGTACTCGTAACTATAATGTAAGTTGATGTACAATGTCTATTTGCCTGTGAAAAAGAGGTGCAACAATGACAAAAGTGAACCAAACCCTCGCTTGTCTACACGCTCGTAAGGTGAGCCTTTGCTCGTTTTTTGGTCTGAAAAAAATCAGAAATCACAACCACTAGGTGTTTCAGTAGAAATGCCTTGTTAGTCATGGTAAGAGCATGGTAAAACCAGCATGAATTCCCATGATTTCCCTGGTCTTCTGATATCTTCTGCCAGGTTGTGATTCCTTTCCCTTTGGTCCCCTTTGGGGCATGGTTCAATCCCAGAATTTTGCGTGGGGAAAAACATAGAGGAAATCCAACCATATTTGGATGGTCAGAACTCAGAACTCTGTAAAAAACCTATATAATGGTTCCTGTACCTGGATTTGCCACCCGGGTTTGTCTGACAATTGGGATACCCCCCAATTAATCCCATGGTGATACTGTATACCACAGTTCCGCTATTAGAATGGTTGGTATACCGGTATACCACATTTCCAGAAACATCCATATTTCGCGGAATGAGAGGTACCCAACTATTCATATGAGTAAGCGACAAAATTATTGTAATACTAATCTAGTGTTGCTTCGCCTCCTGCCTTGGCCTTTCTGAGCTTGCACAAAATGTTCATAACCAATAGGAGACGACCCTATACCGATACCCCATTTGTGATACCTCCGGGAACACTGAAGTCCTCACAACCGATAGGGGACGACCCTAATTTGTGCATGGCATTAAATTTCACAAATCATGTTGTCCGCTACTCATATGTATATATATACATACAATTATATACATATAATTTCCCTAATTTTCATGAAAAAATCATGATCCCAACTATTATGGCATCAAACTAATTCAGTTCATGAACTCCCATCTATTGGGTTAAAACACTGGTCGGTGTACCAGGTGAGTCACCATCAGTTCAGGGGACTTCAGGATATGAACTGATATGAACATCATCCCAACTGCTTTGATGTCAATGGACATACATACATATATAATCATATATATACAGCACATAAATAATATATATATATACAGCACATAAATAATATATATATATATATACACGTAAATAATATATATATATATACATATATATATATACAGTATACATAAATAATGTCATATATATATATATATATGTATGTATATGGTTAACAATGGTGAAAACAACAATATCTTCGATGAATCAGTGGTGAATCATGGTGATTTTCATGGTCTTTTTACGTGGTCGACAGATCAAGGCTCGGCTGATCACGGACAGTACGCAGAGCACAGAGTTTCGGGACAGCGCCACTTGCAACACAAATAGCAATCCCCTCAAAAAAAGGTGGTACCCCCAGTGATGTGAACGTAAAGGTTTAGAAAAACCATAGTGAAATTGGAGTTGTAAACCCATAGTAGTAATTATGGGTGATATAACTCCAAGTAATTATAGGGTGATCTACCGTACTCCAAGTATAGATATATCTACCCTAAACCATAGTGAAATTGGAGTTATTTGCACCGACTTAGCTATCAAACGGGGGCACCACCTTGTAGAAATGGAGCACTTCATGGGAAATTTTGGTCGGGAAGATCATCTAAAAACGGAGGTTTTGATGGGAGAATCATCGAGGATTTAATCAATCAACATCGGGAGCAAAATAGACATATCAGCCCCAAAATCAATAGATACTTTGGCAACACTGGAAATATGGGGTAAATATGATGTTTCGCTCTCATCCTTGGGGGACAGTCTTTGGCATCTTTTTTGAACCAGGGAAAATCCCAGGATGGACTGTAGCCGCACGCTGAAGTTTTGCCGAAACTTGGGATTGCATGGGTAAGCACCACTTATCCCAATAGAATATTTTACTTTTAGCAGGGGAGGAACAAACCACCAAGAGAATCTACAGAAACCATATTCTGAATGACAAGATACAAGAGTTTCCCATGGTTTTCCTCTAAATTCAGGGCCAGCAACAAAGCCACTGATGGATGATTTATTGTTTACAAACTGGACATTTTTTTTTTTTAAATGAAAGGCTACATACATGGATACCCTTCGCATGGGTTGAATGGGTCATGCTCCATTTTTGAGTACTTGAACTCGAAGAACGGATTGGACATGATGGAACTCTGATTTTCGCTTGGTGCGATTGCTGGTGGATTGCTGGTCAACAGCCTTTATTTTAAAGTCCCGAATGGTAGATCTTGGGTCAGCCGATTGGGTTCCGTTTTTTTTCATCCATTTTAGGATCCATTAAAAGCAGATCTGGAACCACTTGAAAAGTCTGATATTTTATGAGATATTTTGTGGTTCACCAGCAATTTGGTGGAAGGAAACAAATACATTACTCCCCAACATTGGTCAACATTTCTTCACCAAATCCAATTCAATGATTAGTGATTTGGAAATGGGTCAACACCTACCAGCTACCATCTTTTTTGGGGGATCAACATCCACTTACCAGCTATTGTTCACCGGGCTGGGGGTTGCTTTAGACCTTTCCCTTGACCCACGATGTCGACACGACTTGTCTCTTTGCCAAGGACTCCGTTGCAGAGTTTGACATGAATCCGGACGCTCCTGATTGTGAAGCTTACATGCATTCTGTTTGGGTAAAATGTCTGGGTCTGGGTGGACCAGGGGAAATTGCAACGCGAAAGGAAAACGAAGGCCGCACATTTCAGGCACATTTCAGGTTAGCAAATTCTATGATTCAGTCATATTCAGTCCAGAAAATTCCGAGGGGTGTGGGGGCACACCCTTGTATTCTTCCATGACTGGGTGAAGATGTTGATGACACCCCTAAACGTGACCCATGTTTATTGGGATGGGTCGGTAACCACCTAGGACCTAAGATTCTCTCATATGGATCAACGAATATGTAGGAACATCAATAGTTAGCAGCTACTAGCAGCTAGACTTTGATGATTCTAGGGTTTTGAGTTGTTCCAATTTGTAGCATTTTCTAGATGGTATTCTGCTGTTAAATGGTGGTCTTCTATTGCCATCTTCGATAAATGCGAGTCGCCAGTAGCATTTGGGGCTGCGGGCACCACGTGATAAATAGGTTATATACATAGCCCCCAGTTAGATTAATTATATACATATATATATAAATAATATTCATATATATATAATATTCATATATATATAATATTCATAAATATATATATATATATATATGGGATGGTGTGGCTGCTGATTTGTGGATTACAAACCACTGAACCTGGGTCCTTAAAAAGTGGGACCTTTTCCCATCCAAGCAGGGTACGGGGGGCGGCACCAGGATTCCCCAAATGAAGAGGGAGTTGGGCCTGGAGACGAAGGGGTTGATTGGCAGTGCCGCCGGCCAGTTGGACGTTGCGCATGTTGGGCGTGGCGGCCAGGGCATGGCTACAGGGGCGAACAAAAACCAATGTTTGATGGGATGTGGCACCCTGAAAAACATCTTATGACTATGGTTGGCACCTCGAAACTCACCACTTAGATCCACTTAGTAACGAAGCACTGTCTGTAGTATAAACTGGCACGGAACTGCAACCGGGGCCCCAGAGTTGGCTCCAAATCGACCTAAAAACTGAATGTGTTTGGAGTCTAAAATGATCAGTCATAGTAAGCCCCAAAAAGATAGAATAGATTCAAACATGAAAAATGGATCACTTCTTTTGGGAGGATTTTAGACTTTTGCTGTCCTTTTCGGATCTTTTTGGGAGGTGCTATGTATCATATGTTTGAAACCAATTTTTGATTAATTGGCATGGATCAAAGTCAACATTCTTTAGTACACCTGGGGGGAAAGGCTTCGATTTGAAAAACCAAAAATGGCCAAAGATTGTGTTCCTTGGGTAGGTCGTGAGGTTGACCCTTTGACCTACCCCAAAAAAGGTCCGATTCCTGCCAAAGACCTCATTTCTTGATGATCATCTTCTGGTTGGTGGTTTGGAACATTTTTTATGTTTCCATATATTGGGAATAATCATCCCAACTGACTTTCATATTTTTCAGAGGGGTTGAAACCACCAAACAGTCTTAGATCATCTTAGATTCTCATTGACTTGATATTTCAGATCCGCTGGAGACCTGAATCGCTTGGCGTTTGGCGTTTCGACAAAGTTTGTCCCCTCCCATCTTAGATTGGCATCTTGGTGAGAGCGACCTCACTAGAGGTAGAGATTTACCAGCATAGGTGGGGGTTTCCATAAATGGTGGTAGCCCAATAGCTGGATGGTTTATGTGGGAAAATCCTCGCTATAAATGGATGATTTAGGGGTACCCCCATGACTTGACGGAAACCTCCAGGTGATTTTCCATACTGTGAACAAGTCCAGGAAATTGATGGAAATTGATGAGGTAAACCTGCCATAAACATCCATCTACTATCTGTGGGGTTTATGAACATGGTATAAGGCTACAAAGGGGATGATGTTGGTTGGGGTACCATCTGGTTATTTAACATAGCCATCAAAAACTCCTCATAAATGGAGGTTTTAAGAGGACATCATCTATAAATGGGCCATTTTCCACAGCTACTATGTTAAATAACCAGATGGTACCTGGATTGGATCCCGCATTGATCATCTTTGGAATGTTCCAGTATCCTTTTTGGAAGAAATATCACCTCCGTTACAAACACGGCTTTGTGCGGAAACGAGGCATACATCCCGTAACTTATCCAACTTATGGCAATTCTAGAGGGAAACCATAGATACATCACGATACATCACGATTTTTTTCATGATAGATTGGGGTGACCACCTAAAAAACTATAGATACATCACCACTTTACACGATATTTGATTTTGGGGTGACCACCTAAAAACCTTTTTGACCACGAATGACGGCGCCAGATCTGTCCACACAGTGATGATCAAGAACATCCCTTGCCGCTGCACCACCGAAGAGGCCCGAGCGTTAGATTAGTTTTGGGGGAGTTGTTTTTACCATTAACAGAATAGGAATATTTTATGGGATATTAATATATAATAATATATAATAATATATATATATATGTATTAGTGGCATATATACATATGTATATCATCAACTTTATGATCTTTGGGTCTTAAAATGGGATATCCTCCGGGATTTGGGTGGGAACATGATGATTGTACAATCTTGTATAACTATGCCTACTTTGGTATCTGTTGGTCGATTTAAAAAACGCCTTCAGAAAACGTGGCGGAAACCTGGAGATTGTGATCGGGAAAACATCATTTTGAAGTACCATCCCGGTGGCACAATGATCGACATCGAATTCTTGGGTTTGCATTTAGCCGCTACATAACGAACTGGAAAGATCCACCATTTTTAATGGGAAAACTCACTATATAAATGGTGATTTTAAGCACAGTTATGTAAACGTTTACCAGAGGGTATGATATTTGTTGGTTTATAACCCCATTTGGCTAGAGATATTTTCATTGGAAACCAGTAATCACCGATGTACAATCCAACTGGATATCAACGGTCTGTCTGAAAATGGGGTATGTTTTTGACACTTTTTGACAAAGGTGTTGTACAGGAAGGCTCCCCTGGATGGGTACCCTCTGGTAATTTAACATAACTATGGAAAATCACCATTTTTAATGGGAAAACTCACTATAAATGGCCATTTTCAATAGCTATGTTAGTTTACCAGAGGGTAAGGTGTGTTTCACTTCCTGAGTATTTCCCTCATGGTTTTACTGTGGAGATACCGATCATTTGTGCCTGGACTGCGACCTGTTCGATCACATCAGGGTTGTGAATTGTTGTTTTTTTTTGCCCAGAATCATTGTCATGGAGTATAATGATCCGGTACGAAGTATGGGTTCGTTTGAGCAACAAAGCCATGGCAAAGCCCAAAATCTCATGATTGAGAACATCATGTTTCCAATGAACGTTTCCACAAAGATATTGGTACTGGGTCACTGTGTGGCTCAGCCCACTTAGTCAAGGACCTGCCTCAGTTTTCCCGGCCATGGGGTCACAACCAACATCATCCCATTTGTACCAGGTGGGGTCCCAGTTCGTTAGCTAAATTGCTTTATAAATCCAATAGCTTGGGTTTATAGATATATCGAACTACTTCATGGAGGTTATAGACATAGACCAACACACATTTCACTGGGGGGCACCGCCGACAGTAGCCTTAGAGCAATTTCATACGCCCCAGTTGGGGATGGTTTTTATACTGCTTTTATCGCATTTTTGAAAAACCTCGTTACTCAACTTCCTTGATTTACTGAAGGTGGTGCTTTCTTTCCTGCATCAATGTACCATACACTATGAGGAATCTATAGGAATCTAGGAATATCAAGGGTCTTTGGGGCACTAATTGCAGCAACTCCAAGATTCCGAGGTTTCCCGAAATTTTGGGGTACCCAATCCCCCAGTATCCCCCAGTCATCCATGAAACCATGAAACCATGAAAGCGATAAAATGGGTACCCCCAGTCGCAGTGCGGCAGGTACTGGCCGCCATAGACCAAATGGGCTTTGAAGGTAGCTATGTCGCCTGGACGTTTCAACGGGCTTTTGGTGATCCCAGGGTTGTGGATCAGGTCGCTGCTCTTTGAACTTTTCCTGGCCACATTTTCCAGGGGAAACATGGTGAAATTTATCTTACTGTAATTTATTATAATTGATCTACATGGTAATTTATCATACTGTAATTTATTATAATTGATCTACATGATGGAAACTTATCATACTGTAATTTAATATAGTTGATCTAAGTGGTGGAAATGTATCATACTGTAATTTATTATTTTTTTGATCTAGCCATTTCCCCCGGCCAGGGAGCAACCTGGAAAGTGAAGATTGATAGGCTCCCTCTGGCCCCCAGGGCGGTCTGAACATATGTTTAGATGCTTGTGGTTTTATAATGTTTTATATGGTTTTTTATATGGCCTAACAGAGATAACCATGGGATAAATCCATAGGATATTGTCTATTTTAATGGATCTAGTGTGATATACAAAAACATAGCCTCTGGTAATTCAACGCTAGCTGAGAACCCCCCGAAGGAAATGGAGCTTTGAATGGGAAAATCATCTATCAATGGGGGAATTTCCATTGCCAAAATGACAGGCCTGAAAGAATGGACAGTGGAACTGCAACTGTGGTATAGCAACCAAGTAGCAGCCTCCAAAAAGATAGACCAGTTCTATCCAGTTCTTCATGAGTTTTTCCAGGATGATAGATGATGTTTTCCCCACTATTTTCATCTATTTCCCAGGTTTCAACCTTTCTATCCTTTGCCGCCAAACATCTCACCACCGTGGCAGCTGCTGCCTGGCTCGCCCAGGATTTCTTCTACCTACCCATGAATCGGCGTCACCGTCAGGGAATTGGCTACGCCTTCATCAATTTTCAAGAGAAAGGTACAGCAGACATCTTCAAAGATGTTCCGCGGCCCATCATTGAATCGCATTGGTGCCGTTGGTGCCCCCCAAACGTGATGTGATGATGTGAACATTGGTTTATAAACCATAGGAATAGTATAGATATATGATATATCTAACATAAACCACTGGCCTAAAATCATTTTCAAAGCGTCATTTGGCAAGCGTCTGACGTCTAACCGTGTTTGGAGCATGACGCCATTTTGGCCATTTAACTGAAAGAGTTGGAACTAGTTGGATACCCAGACCTGCCTGGAGCTGTGTTTTTTGACACGCCGTGACTGACTCCATTACATGCTGTGCCATAGTCAACAGTTGAATTGTCTTTCCTTCCATAGGTATGGTGATCCCTCCATTCATCCAATGTAACTGCCGAGCGATCTGAAGCATTTTGTGAGGGCATTAACATCACAAGTTGGTGCCCCAGTTAGCTAAATTGGTTTATAAAGCTCCAATTTCACCTGTCTTTATAGTATGTATGTAATATATATACATGTATATTATACGATATATCGAAGTACTTCATGGGGTTAACCAACACACATTTCACTGGGAGGCACCACCGACAGTATGAAGCCAGATCCATAGAGGCCTCCCGAAGAAGATCATTCCAGCTTACATAACATACTGACACCTACCTAGGTGTCTATATTCTACGGACATGTCATCATTTATGCATAACACACATATATATATACAGTACCATCAATTGCAACAGATATACAAATATCTATCTATCTATCTATCTATCTATATATATATGTATATATATATACAACCATACTAATATACAATAATAACACACACACATATATATATATATATATTATATATGTATACGCCCAAGACGGTGGGTTCGGCTGAACGTCAAAATTCTAATCGAAAGCTTTGCAGATCATCTTGTCAGCGAACATGTTCTTCCCTTTTTTTTCCCTTCATGCCTCTTGTAACCAGTTTAATTGTCTGGTTTGAAACAATCGCGAGGTGCCATGTTTAGCACCCCACTCGTGAGATCCTTGCGAAATTGTGCAAGGGCATTCATCACAGTCGCCAGACCAGGTTTCCTGTGCAAAGCGGCTGCAGCCATAACTTCCACTGTCTTTTTGTGCGAAGTTTGTTGAATCTTCCCAGTTTGTTTTGGCGTCGAAAGGTAGCAACATCTTCAACATAGCAACACCTTCAATGTCGCAGCATCTTCAACATCTTCAACATCTTCAACGCAGCAACATCTTCAACATCTTCAACATCCTCATCGTAACAGCATCTTCAACATAGCAACATCTTCAAAGTAGAAACATCTTCAACATCTTCAACGTAGCAACATCTTCAACATCTTCAGGGAATACAAGTTGAATTGGACGTTATCAGCCCCACCCCACCCCATCCCCATGCATCACGTGCACTAGCATAGCATGACATGCGTGTACTACTGCAAGAGAACGTCCAAGAGCGTCGCATCACGTCGGAATACAAGTTCAATTGGACATTATCAGCCCCACCCCACCCCAACCCAACCCACCCCACCGTACACTACGACGTCTGTAGCGTAACATGATGCAATGGAGAGAAAACGACTTAAAAGACAATAATTCTAACCCACCTAATTCCGCACACATGCGCGCAACGATACGACGCCATTCAGCAAAAACCATGCAATGTGCAATTTGACCCATAAAATACAGTATTTTGGAAGCGTCAAGATGACAGAGAACAACGACAAACACGCAAGTAGATACTGTGCGCCGACAGCGAACCCACCGTCTTGCGGGTATGTCAACCCCGGATTAATAAACCATGGTTTATTAATTAGGGGGTACTCCTCCAATAGTCATAATCTGATACTTAAATGGTACCCTCCCAATTAAACAGCCTAGGGGTTTATTAATCCAGGGTTGACATTGTATATATATATATATATATACATATACAAGGTTGTGCCCCCCCCCAGTTACAAATTGGTTATAATCCCATTAACTATAGATATATCACCTAATATCACCTATAAACATTATAAACCATGGTCATTGATATACATTGACAATGTAATAAATGACAATCATGTCGTACGTTTATCTGGTTTCCGAAAAAATTGACCAGGCGAACTCTGGGTCCCAGTCTCCGTCCCGAGGCCATGTGCGGCTATCAGTTTCCCGGACGCAACAGCAAGAAGGTAGTGCACGTGGCTGTCGCTCAACTTCAAGGACGCCAGGAGGCGACCTTGAACCACCGGGCGCACGATCTGGGGGGCCATCTATCAATAGGTTATAACATGCTTATTAGGCCATTAAGAAACTATAGATGGGTTATAGTTATATTAAGTTATTTGGATTATAGATATAGATGGGTTATAGATGGGTTATAGATGGGTTATAGTTATAGCCCATTTTTTGTTCATAGGAGAATATGGGAATCGGGGACAACAACGTTCACTCGGCTTATTCCCAACTTGGGATATCGAAATCCGAGAATCGTGGGTCATAAGATGTAGGAAGCCATTGGTCTAACCAATCTTTGTTGTCCATACTTACATATATATATACATATAATATACATATAATATACAGATATACATATATATATATATACACGTATACATGTATATGTATATGTATATGTATATGTATATGTATATGTATATGTATATACATATGTATGTGTATATGTTATGTATATGTATATGTATATGTATATGTATATGTATATGTATATGTATATGTTATGTATATGCATATGCATATGTATATGTATATGTACATGTATATGTATATGTAAATGTATATGTATATGTATATGTATATGTATATGTTCATGTATATGTATATGTATATGTATATGTTCATGTATATGTATATGTTCATGTATATGTTCATGTTCATGTATATGTATATGTATATGTATATGTTCATGTATATGTATATGTTATGTATATGTATATGTATGACTATGACTGTAATTAAATGTATATACATATATGCAGCTGGCCGATTTAATATGTTCCTTTCGCGGCTAACAATCAAAGGTGTTTTAGGCGGCCAACTTACGCCTGAGCGGAAGGGCTGAAGCCGATGTCATCCATTGAAATTTTAGCCAACTTTGCATGACATGATGATTCAATAGCCACATCAGTGCGAGAAGACAAAGCAAGCCACTTTGGGAAACATGCATGATTTGGGATTCATTGTATTCATGCGCAGGATGGATCAGGATGAGGATTATAATGGGACCATCTGGGATGAACATGGGATAAAATCAGCCCCAGAGGGTCATCCTTTCCGGTTTATATTCTTAAACATCAGATCAGCAGTGGCTGCTAAAACCCTGGCAGGGTTGATGATTAGTTCGGGGATTATAGGGAAATCTTGGGGATTCTAATAATCCAATAGGGAAATCCCTATAAACCAACCAGTACCGGTACAATGGAATGATCGAGGCATTTTGCACACTGCTCAGATGGGGATCGGTTTTCAGTTGGGGACGATTTCAACATATTTCAACCTCTACGAAAAGCTAGTTGGAGAGTTCCCCAGGCCCAGAAAAATCCATTTGCATTTTGATTTTGACCCTACCCTCTGGTGAACTAACATAGCTATTGAAAATGGCCATAGAAATAGTGGATTTTCCCATTAAAAATGGTGATTTTCCATTGCTATGTTAGTTTACCAGAGGGTATTCATCCATCTTTTCTTTGACCAGCAGAGACCATAGCTGCTATAGCTCTCATGATGTTGTCCAAGACCCCAAAATCCAGTGGTTTACTTCTCGATGTGGGTCTGTGTGAAATGTGACAGTTTGACTATGGGATTCTTGGGTAACCTATTTCAGAGAAACCCAAAATAATTGGTTATATAATATATCATCAGGTTATACCGATATGAAACTATATCACCATGGAAATATAATATATCACTTATTTCCCCCCATGAAATTGCCATTTTTGGGCACCAACAAATCAGCCTTCAACGCTGTCGGCGAGGTGGACGCCTACTTCAGCCGCACGCAAGTGATGCATACCCGCTATCGGCCAGTGATGTCTTGAAAAATGCATGGGATGTTTCAAGTATGCACCGGGTTTGGACACTTGTGACACGGCTACTGTTTTCTGGAGATTTGTGAGATCCATTCCTGTGCTTTTTGCGCCGGGAACCGCTCTGCTTGACGTTCCAAGACACCACCGGCGATAGCAACATCGTCGCAGAGCAGCAGCGCTTCTATTTTTTTTTAGATCTCGGCGATGAGAAGTCCAGGAACCGGACCGTTAGAGGGGTTACAATGTTCTTTTGCTAAGGCTAATACGCAATATTACACTGTAGATATTTATCATTCTATGCTTGTATCTACATCCCTATCTGTACCCAATATCTATGCACTCGTACACATATCTTTCGATCTCTGGACTCTATATCCATGACTACAGTATGTCTACACCTATATCTATATCTGTGTCTATATCGGTCGTTCGGTGGTAGAGAGGCAACTGTACATCTGAGCACCTTGAACAATATCACCAAGCATCATGACATGAAAACAAATAGGCTAATCAATATAATAATATATATTATATATTATATATATATAACCAACTAACTATCTTGGTCAAAGCGAAACCAAATCTAACCAGAAAACATAAACCATTACATTTTCTCAAAGGTTACAACCAAGGAAGGACTTCCTTCGAGTGACCCGAGTGACCGACAGGATTTCAGACAATCTATTTGGGAGGGCCATTTTTTTTTTTTGCGGCAGTTTTTCAATGTTTTTTTGGATTCCTGGTTCTATGCTTTCCTGTTTCTCTGATTTTCTGCTTTTCTGCGTCTCTGCTTACATTGCTTCTCTGCTTTTCTGCTTTTTGCTTTCCCTGCTTCTCTGCTTTTCCTGCTTTGCTTTTCTGCTTTTTGCTTTTCCTGCTTCTTTGCTTTTCTGCTCTCTGTTTTCCCTGCTTCTCTGCTTTTGTACTTCTGTGCCTTTCTACTTCTACTATTCTACTGTTTCGTTTCTTCAGTCATGTGTTTTTGCTGCTCAACTTCCTGCTCCTTTGCTTCTTTGCTTCCTGTCTTTTCTGTCTCTTTGTTTCTCATTTTCTTTTGCTTTATTCTGTTCTGTTTGTATCCTAAGTGAAACCCTAGAGAGACCCTAGGTGAAACCCAAAGAAACCCTAAAGAAATCCTGGTAAGAAGCCCTACATGAAGCCCTAAATGAACCCTAAAGAAACATAAAGAAACCATAAATGAACCCTAAAGAAACCATAAATGAAACCCTAAAGACACTTTAAATGACACCCTAAATGACATTCCAAAGAAACCCTAAACAACACTCTGAAAAAAAACTAAATGAAGCCTTAACTGACACCTTAGCTGAAACCCTAAATTGACACCCTAAAGAAACCCTAAATGAAACCCTAAACCCTAAATGAAACCCTAAAGAAACCCGAAATGAAACCCTAGAGAAGCCCTAAAGAAACTCCAAATGAAACTCTGAAGAAACCTTAAATGAGACCCTAAATGAAACCCGAACTGAAAACCTAAAGAAAACCTAAAGAAACCCTAAACGAAACCCTAAACGAAACCCTAAATGAAGCCCTAAAGAAACCCATTTGAACGTTTAGAACTCCTGATAAGAAATCCCGATAAGAGACCCTACATGACACTACATGAAACCGGAAAAAAACCCTAAATGAAACTCTAACGAAACCCTCACCCTAAAGAAACCCTAAATGAAACCCTAAATGAAATGAAACCCTAAAGAAACCCTAAATAAAACCCCAAATGAAGCCCTAAATAAAACCCTAAATGAAACCCTAAATGAAACCTTAAATGACACCCTAAATGAAAGCCCAAAGAACCCTCAAGAGACCCACATGATCGTTTGAAGTACCAAAATGTAGCAACTACCATGCAAATGAGAGGTTGAAATGCCAAAATGTGACAAATACCATGCAAAATGGCAGGCAAACATGGCCAAATATAGCACATACCATGCAAAATGCAACGTGCCCATGCCCAAATCTAGCAAATGCCATAAAAAATGACAGGTTCTAGTTCCAAACTGTTGCAAATACAAGGCAAATGGTACCAGGAAAGAAAGCCAAAACAAATCCAAAACCGCAAAAAAATACCAAAAACTATTCTACACCCATCTATTTGCCATTCTATCGGACATATGTTTTGGCATTGGATCCGACCTTTTATCTGGCACATTATTGACATATATCCTGCCATATGTTCTCACAATTTATCTGATTCTGACATTCTATTTGGCATTATATCTGGCTGCATGACATATATTTTGTTGTATTTTCAACAGTTATTTGACACCCTGTCTGACATATTATGCAATGTTATCTGGCATTCTATCACATATATTATATTCAGACATGTTGTCTGACATATATTCTGACATTCTGTCTGATATTTATTCTAGCATTTTATTTGATTTTCTATTCAACATTTTATTTGTCATTCTGTCTGACATATATTCTGACATTCAATCTGACATATATTTAGACTTTTACTCTGCATTCTATCTGACGTACATTCTCAGATTCGAAATCTGGCATTCTGGCATAGTGTTCTGGTCGCCCAGAGAGCCTGCTGCGGGTCCCTGCGGGTCCGTCCAGGGGTCCGTCCAGGGACGAAGCCAAGAAAAATATGGAAAATTGGAGACATAGAATAGATACCCTCTGGTTATTTAACATAGCCATGGAAAATGGCCCATTTATAGATGGTTTGCCTATTAAACATGGTGATTTTCCATGGCTATGTTAAATAGCCAGATGGTAGATGAAAGAGGCTGAACATATACATCTGCAGTAGTTTTTTTGCATACATTCGTGCATACATATAAATGTTTTGAATATTGACATATACATTACATGATGCACGCAATATCAATGTAAACATAGACGGCATCTAGATAAATAACACCATATACGATATGTATATATATATAGTATATATATAGTATATATATAGTATATATATAGTATATATATAGTACATATATAGTATATATATAGTATATATATATAGTATATATATATATACGTAGAGGTATGTGTGTACTGCAATGCACTGCACTGCACCGCACTGCACTGCACTGCACATTCAATGCAATGCAAATGCAAATGCAATGCAATGCAAGGCAATCTAATGTAATGCAATGCAATGCAAATCAAATGCAAATGCAATGCAAATGCAAATGCAATGCAAATGCAAATGCAAATGCAAATGCAATGCAAATGCAATGCAAATGCAAATGTAATGGCAAACGCAATGGCAAACGCAGTGCAAACGCAATGCAAATGCAATGCACATGCAATGCAAATGCAATGCAAATGCAAATGTAATGGCAAACGCAATGGCAAACGCAGTGCAAATGCAATGCAATGCAAATGCAATGCAAATGCAATGCAAATGCAATGCAATGCAAATGCAACGCAAATGCAACGCAAATGCAATGCAAATGCAATGCAAATGCAATGCAAATGCAATGCAAATGCAATGCAAATGCAATGCAAATGCAATGCAAATGCAATGCAAATGCAAATGCAAATGCAATGCAAATGCAATGCAAATGCAATGCAAATGCAAATGCAATGCAAATGCAATGCAAATGCAATGCAAATGCAATGCAAATGCAATGCAAATGCAATGCAAATGCAATGCAAATGCAATGCAAATGCAAATGCAAATGCAATGCAAATGCAATGCAAATGCAATGCAAATGCAAATGCAATGCAAATGCAATGCAAATACAATGCAAATGCAATGCAAATGCAATGCAAATGCAATGCAAATGCAATGCAAATGCAATGCAAATGCAATGCAAATGCAATGCAAATGCAATGCAAATGCAAATGCAAATGCAAATGCAAATGCAAATGCAATGCAAATGCAATGCAAATGCAATGCAAATGCAAATGCAATGCAAATGCAATGCAAATGCAATGCAAATGCAATGCAAATGCGATGCAAATGCAATGCAAATGCAATGCAAATGCAAATGCAATGCAAATGCAATGCAAATACAATGCAAATGCAATGCAAATGCAATGCAAATGCAATGCAAATGCAATGCAAATGCAATGCAAATGCAATGCAAATGCAATGCAAATGCAATGCACATGCAATGCACATGCAATGCACATGCAATGCAAATGCAATGCAAATGCAAATGTAATGGCAAACGCAATGGCAAACGCAGTGCAAATGCAATGCAATGCAAATGCAATGCAAATGCAATGCAAATGCAATGCAAATGCAATGCAAATGCAATGCAAATGCAATGCAAATGCAATACAAATGCAATGCAATGCAATCTAATGTAATGTAATGTATGTCATATATATATACATATTAGTTATATATATATATACACACGGAGTTACATCTTACTTTAAATACACACAGTATATATAATATTGATATGCATATTTGTTTGTGGTTTGACGTATTTATATATATATATTGTATGTATATATATTATATATATTATACAGAGATACGTCTATGCGGTGTATCTATGTATATATGTCTATGACTACATACATTTGTTTATTTTAATAGACACACATATATTTATGGAAGCATTGAAAACCCCATCTTCCGGATTTATAGTAGACTTTAAAGGCTTTAAGCGCAGTGTTTGATTTGCTAGCAGATGCTGGCAGCCGTGCAGAATTCGTTTGGGCTGTGAAACCCAATGTTTGAATGGCCGGCAGTTCCGCAGAATTCCTTTCCTGGCTGTGAATTCTGGTCGATTGCTGAGCTTAAGGACTCCTATGGTCATGTTTCAAGCATCACTGGGACGGCACTTTAAAATACTTTAAAGACGTGATGATACAAATTAGGTGATCAGAAATGACGATGTGGTAGGGTAAACCATGGTAAACCATGGTAAACCTATATACAGTATATATATATATATAGTATAGAGGATTTTGACCAGCAATTACATATATAAGATACAGAAACGAGAAACGCCCCCATTGTTGTGAGGCAAATTTCCGTGCTACAATTGGTGGACGTTTCCCTGGAACTC